CGTAACTCGCGTTACTTGTAATGCGTTACCCCCAACACTGGTGGTAAGTTTAAACGCGTTCAAATTTGTAATCCTAATTATAAACAACGGTAATAGTTATTAATTGCTATGGATCTTGATAAAGTAATGATTTGAAAACGGTTCTGTGGAATATATTTTTAACACAGGTTGATCACGCACCTGGTGAGAGCAGAACAATGGCTTTCAGACAGCTGTATTCGGCAGAATCCACCTGCAGTCGTGCCAGCTTGTCCACCTGGTCCTGGAAAACCCGCACCTGGTCCATGAAGGACACGATGCGGTCAGCGGGCATGGGGGAGGAGTGAAAGCCGGCAGCTGCCAGCAGGGGCGCCGTGTGCAGTGGCAGAGCCGACTGAGCTGCATTCAGGATGAACAGTTCACTCCAGCTGAGCCTCAGAAGGGCCACCTGCTCCGACACGGGCAGGTCAGGAAAGTAGGGAATATTCCGGGCCCACTCTATGGTACTGAAGAGCAGCCGGGCTGCCAGCTCACATATATTGTCGATGCCCATGACGGAGCTGTTGGCTCCTGTGAGCTGCTGGCCGCACTGGGCTCCGTAGCGGCTGTTGGGGTACGGCTCTGCTCTCAGCAGCTGAGAGATGAGCTCAGACACTGGCTGACCATTGAAGAAATCAGCACCCATGCCGTGACCTCCTCCAACATCACCACCCACTCCAACCATGGAGGCTGGACTGATGCCTGCATGGGAGGGAGGGATTCGACCACGCTGGACCGCTGGGAAAAAAAACAACAGAGAGAAAGGAACCATCAATATAATGACACAAACCGAAAGGATGATACAGGTAACATGAAACTAGCAAAGCTATGTAGGAAACTGTTTGGGAAATGGTCAGATATATAAATAGACTATAAATATTTAGATAATATTTATTACAAATATATATCAATGGTTTGCTGACCTTCTTTCCTCATACCGACCCGGAAACATTTCTTCAGACGGCAGTACTGACACTGGTTACGGTGGTGCTGATCAATCTGACACTCTCTGTTTGACCTGTAAAGACAGTTTAGATACCTTTGAGCCAAGAGAATACAAGAGATAATTTAAGATTTAGCACTTTTCAAAAGATAATGAGCATTCAGATCAACAGTGAAACGTTGCCAGGTGTGAACATCACTATTTACAGATAGCATGATATCTTCCCTGAATGTTATATTATAATCTCTGCAGATACGGACCATTTAAGTCATTATTTAATTCTAATATTATCTGCGTAATCCTGAAATTCTGTGCAGAATAAAGGCATATCTGAGGAAGACTGTGCTACATTGAGACTTGACATAATGGCACAAAACACTCGTTTTTACATACCAGCTTCAAATTAAAGACACAATTACCCTTGTAAATGCATGAATAAATGATCAATGATTTGCA